TAGAAGAATTGATGCCTTTGAGTTGTAGTGTTGGAGGAGAATACTAAAAGTGCCATGGACTGCCAAAAGAACCAATAGATCTGTTTTGGAAGAAGTGCAGCCAGAGTGCTCCTTGGAGGCCAAGATGGCTAAGCTTCTTCTCTCATGCTTTGGACATATTGTCCCGAGGGAACAGTCGCTGGAGAAGGATGTCATGCTGGGTAAGGTGGAGGGTCAGAGAAAAAGAGGAAGACCCCCAACGAGATGAGTTGGCCAGGTGGCATCATTGATGAACTCAAGTGTGGCAGTGGTAGTGAGGTTGGCCCAGGATCGGACATTGTTTCATTCTGCTGTGCATGGGGTTGCTATGAGTCGATTCCTACTCGATGGCACCTGACAACAGCAACAACAGCAACACATTTACATTGCAATCAACTACTACATAATACACATTTGTATTAGCATAGACAGAATAGATTCCTGGTGTGGCACTGATCAGCCACAAGGTCAGAGGTTCAAACCTACCAGCTGTTCCTTGAAACTCCATTATGGGGTCATTATGAATTAGAACTGACTCTAAGGCACTTAAGAACAATAACAATATAGAAAAAATGGAATTTAAACTGAGCTAGATGCAAGGTTTAGCATAGGTCATATATTTGAAGTTATAAAAACTAGATTCTCTGAGAAGACTAGAATTGGTATTAAACTAGAATTCACTGATATTCTCTATTATTTGGAATTTAATAAACACATAAACAATATTCCATGAATTAAGGAAGTAGTAACAATTAAAATGTACATATCTTGAATTTAATAAGAATAAAAGCACAAAATGTAAAAAAAAACATGAGGTGTAACCAAAGTAATGGTGAAGAAGAAATCCATAATTTAAAAAGCATTTTTTTAAAAAAGACAAGCGTTTTTAAATCAATAGCATAAATATAAAGAAATAAAAACATGGCCAATTAATATAAGGAAATTAAAAGACAAGGTATGATAAAGTTAATATAAAATATAAAATTAATTTAGCCTCAAAGATTCCAGAAGTTGAATATAGAGATAACAATCTGAACCCACATAAATTTTATGTCATCCCAGCTGTACTTTATGAAATAAATACTTTTCATATTGAACATAATGATGTGAAATACTCCTAGCAATGAGAACACACAAGTATAAATTATCTCCAACTTTAGAAAGCAAATATACTCTTACCATTATTATAATCATATGTTAGATTACTACTAGGGTCCAAGATTCAGAAAAAACATGTGACACCCACCCAGGAATTACCTTAATTTTTGCACTATATAATTGAGTACAAGAAAGTAGATGGTAGGCAGAAGAAAGTGGGTAGATGAGACATGTCCAAAACAGTGGATGAACAATGATTAGAAAGCAAGTACATAAAAATCAGGAAGACAAAATACAAGCATGTGTTTAAAACTTTTAATTGTGCTTCCTTTCAATTTAAACTAAAGCAACCTGCTCCTCAGAAACACTGTGCAGGGTTGTTATAAGTAGAAACTGACTCCTTGCCATTAAACAGGGACAACAACAAAAACACTCTATGATCAGCATAGAATTGCTAATCACAAGATTGGTGGTTGAGACCCATCAGACAATCTTCAAGGAGAAAAAATAAAGTTGCCTGAGCCTGTGAAGATTTATGGTCTCAAAAACTTTATGTAGGGTCTGTATGAGTTGAAGAATCCTGGAATGGCACTGTGGGCTAATGCCTCAGACTGCAAAGTCATTTGAACTGCTAGATCGGTGGTTCAAGGTCACCAGCTGCTCCTCACAAACCCTATACAGGGTTGCTATGGGTTGGAATCGACTTGATGGCACTTAACAACAATGTGAGTTGAAATTGGTTGATAGCAGTGGATCAGTGAAACTAAGTAAATATATGAGTGGAGTTCATGGAAAAATGAACTTTTTAAAAATTAAGTTTGAAGCCTTATTTTATTACTGAGAGAATTTGACTACAGCCATCCACTTGTCACAGATACATGCTTAAAGATGCTTTGTTTGGAATAAACCCAAACCTGATTGAACTGGAATCCTAGTAGGAATCTTTTTCACTTAACACAGTATTAATATGCACATGAAAAACACTTATGACTCAATAACAAAAAGAAAAATAACTTGAGTAAAAAAGTTGTGAAAGGATTTGAATGTATACTCTTCAAAAGAAAATGCATAACTGTCCAATAAGGACAAGAAAAGATATCCAACATTATTAATCATCAGAAAAATGCAAATAATACTACAATGAGATACCACTTACCAACTAGGAAAACTATAACTAAAATAACTAAACCAAACTGAAGAAATAAATGGACAATAAGTGACAGTGAATGTGTAGAGAAATTTGAAGGTACATACATTACTAGTGGGAATGTTCTACGTTCTGGAAAACAATTAGACAGTTCTCAAAATTCTAAAGATAATGCTAACACGCAATCTAACAACTGCACTCCTGGCTAAATACAAAAGATAATCGAAAACCTGTGTCCACAAAAATCTTATATACAAGTGTTCATAGCAACATTAGATAATAGCCAACAAATGTAAACAACCTACAGGTCTAAAAACTGATATGCCAAAACAAGCTAGATTATCAGTCATCATTAAATATACAAAATATTCTATCTTTTACCAGTGATTCCATAGGGATCTGTTTGTGTCAGATGTTATTCTTGCTTGTCCTATGAGATTTTCTTGTTGAAGTTACTACATATAGAAGCTGCAAATATATACTTACCTTTGAGTCTGAAGTGGTTACTTGTATCCTGAGCAATCTGAGTGAAACGTGAAAGGACATGAGGCAACTGGCTCCCACAAACACTACCTCCTTTATTTCAAAATTACATAGATTCAAGAAAGGAGATAACAACTTTGGAACAGAGGAATAAAGATTTTTCATTTTCCATGGATGAAGTGAAGAAAGAACAGGATTTTTAAGAGGCAAAGATATTATTTAGGAATATTGTAGAAGTGAGATTCACTTCTCCTTTTGATCACATTTCACAAATCTATCAAAGAAGCAAAAGTATGGATACCTCATGAGCTCTGGACTCAATTACAGGTTGACATTTTGAGAGGAATAACATTTTATCAAGTATGGTTTTATAAGAATAGTGCTTTGAAAACCAGTGTGTGTATTTGTGAGTGTGTGCAGTTTTCAATTCTTCTCTTTCTGCATGTTCTAAAATGTATTTATACAGCCAATATATTATTGAGAATCTAATCTGTAAAAGTCTTTGGCCTGGATACCAGGTTATAAAAAGATCCATGATATTGTGTGTGTATATGTATGGAGACCCCTATTTACCCACAAGATCTCAACTCACATGAATAACTTTTGTGCTTTTTGAGTTCCAACTGCACTATTCATCTCTCTCCCTCCATATTTAACCATTGCCATATAATTTATTTGTAGCTTCGGAGCTTTCTCTTTTTCATAAGCTAAATAGTATATATATTTAAATCTCTGCATTGTTCAAGGGTTTTCACTATAGAAAAATCCTAGAGCTAACAAATGAATCTAGAAATAGTTCCTTATTTTATGATATGTATGTGGAGAGAATAAATAACTTTACATGATTCTGGCAATCACAGGTAAGCAAAGCTTTCCATAAACACAGATTAAATGTTTTGAGATGAGAGAAATCACTCCCCTCAAGAGCCGATGGCAGCATTGATTTATTAGGGGATAGGGAAAACAGAAGACTAATAACCAAGGGTCTCAGAGGTGAAGCAGGGTCAGTCCTGGTCAATATTTGGATGGGAGACCATCTGAGAATACAGCGAGCTACAGTCTTTAGGAGTCCTGATGGTTAATACGCTGGACCTCAAAGTCGGTTTAAACTGCAAGGTTGGCAGTTCAAGCTCACCAGCTACTCCTCAGAAACCTTATACAGGGCTGCTGTGGGTCGGATCCAACTTGAGGGCACTTAACAGCAGCACAATAACCAAGGATTTCTCTACCTTAGATTCAGTACTGACTTAAACATTGCTTCTTTTTTTTTCACCTTCCCACCCTTGCCTCATACTCATTCACTCCATCATATGTGTTTCCTGACTTGGAGATTAGTCTCTCTCAGAAATATGGGAAGCAGTATAAAGGAATCTGTTTTACCAAGCAACTGGTATCTTGGATAAGCTTAGATAATTTTACAAACTAATTTAGTGTTGTTAAAAGGAACAATTCTGGATGTGTTAGATGTGGGTTTCTGGATGTCTCTTCCCTTTTTTCCTTTCCCCATAGCAGTTTTTTCTTGTTATGTTTTCTTTCAGGTTTCTATATCATAGGCTGTGAACTGTTTAAGTTCCATCAAACAACAAAAGTTTAAATATTTTCACACTATAATCACTACCATATTAAACTATTTTACTTTATGTTGGTAGTGTGTAAATTTCATGAGAAGAATATATCTTATCAGTTTTTATTTATTTATTACCAGTGCTTCTAACATTGTTTCTTACAGAATAACTATCCAGTAACTATTTTTAAATTAAGTACAAGTATGAGGACAAATTTATTGGTTATAGATAGAAAGGTTGAATGGTATGATGCCTTTGATATTATTTAATATCATCTTTCTATATTTTAACACATTAATTCTGTATGTTGTTGAAGATTTATTAACCTAGTCATTTTAGTTATACACACCAGATTCAAGTTCACCAGCCACTCCTTGGAAACCCTATACAGGGTCCTTGTGGGTCGGGAACTGACTAGACGGCACTAAACAACTACAAACAACAACACCAGATTATGAATTTGAGTCATTTTTAAAAGCAGAAAATTAAGAGTCCAACTGAACATTGTATGCTTAGTGATATATACAGTGTTTCCATATTTTTCAAGATCTGGTTGTCATCATCTTGGCATATCAACTTTACCTTCAACATATTCAGCAGTACGTATAGGAAACAAAGGAAAAAAAAAAAAAAAAAAAACTATGCCACTCCTCAGCACTTCACCTCTCAACACTTCCCGTCCCTACTCAATGACTTTTTTGCTGTTGGGCATCCCAGGACTAGAGCATCTTCATGCCTGGATTGGGATTCCCTTCTGCTCCATGTATGTGGTGGCTTTGGTAGGAAATGTGACCATTCTGGCTGTGGTGAGAGCAGAGCGAAGCCTCCATCAACCAATGTTTCTTTTTCTGTGTATGCTGTCCATTACTGACTTGGTTCTCTCCACATCTACATTGCCCCGCATGTTATGTCTCTTCTGGCTTGGAGCCCATGACATTGCCTTTGATGCTTGTCTGACTCAAATGTTCTTCATCCACAGCTTTACTGCCATGGAATCAGGTTTCTTCCTGGCTATGGCCATTGATCGTTATGTGGCCATCTGTGACCCACTGCACCACAACACCATTCTCACCCCCAGTCGTATCATCATAATGGGTATCATTGTGGTTATTCGTGGTGTTACCTTCTTTACTCCACACCCTATTCTTCTCAAACAATTGCCTTATTGTAGAACACGAATCATTGCTCACACCTACTGTGAATTCATGGCTGTGGTGAAGCTGGCGTGTATGGACACAGGGGCAACCAAGAGTTATAGCCTCAGTATGGCTTCAATAATTGGGTCATGTGATGCCATTCTCATTACTGTATCTTATGCCTTCATCCTCCGCTCTGTATTTCGTCTACCATCCAGAGAAGCTAGCTTTAAGGCTTTGGGTACATGTGGTTCCCATGTATGTGTCATTCTTGTTTTTTATTCAACAGCTGGTTTTTCCATTTTTACTCATCGTTTTGGGAAAAATGTGCCTGCACATATTCATATTTTTATTGCAAATATGTACCTTTTGGTGCCCCCTTTCCTCAACCCTATTGTGTATGGAGTAAGGACGAAGAAAATACGGGAAAATGTTTTTAGAGCCCTAAGGGTAAAAGTCTCCTGCTTTTAGTAGAATGAGTAAGAGTTTGTTCAAGAATGATTTCCTCTTCAAAAGCAATGACGTAGAGGAAATAACTGTTCTCACTTACTCAAGATGAATTATAATTAGTCTCTGAAAGTTCTGTTATTGACCAGATATAATTCCTAGAATTCTAAATAAATAATTTCAGTTCTTGTATTTATTAAATATTATAGCAGAAATTGTTATCTGCCTCTAAGTATATTTTATAAGATAATTAAAATTAAGGAGTGAAAAGAAAAAGGGATAAAAACTCTAACATGATAGAAAAACATGTAGAGAGTTCTCTAGAGAATTGTATGTTTGGTGATATATACAGTGGAAAAAATATATTCATGTATGTAGTTGGGATTCTGTTTCTTCTCACATGGAAACAAACTGAAGACTTTTTATATATCCAGATAAGTATTTCATTTTGTTTTTAGAATATTTTTATAATTACTTGGATCTTTCTTTTCCTGTCAACTATCATCAAATGGAGGTTTTGATATTTGCACTCTAAAACTCCCCCTTCCTCAAGGTTTGTTTGAACTGCAAAGTTGGTGGTTTGAACTCACCAGATGTTCCTAGGAAACCCTATACAGGGTTACTATGAGTTGGTCATTATGAGTCAGAACCTACTGGATGGTACTTAACAACAACAACCACAATTATCATGTCATTTCCATTTCCATTCAACTTTTATGGAAAACACAGTGCCATGTGAACGAAGCCTCCCCTGACTGTTGGACAAGAGTTAAACATTTCCTCTTTGTAGACAGCTAGATAGCTAAATAAAGATGGTGGTGGTTGTGGTTATGTTCTGTGGTGTCAGTTCTGACTCATAGCAACCTTTTATAAAATGTCCATGTCATTAATCTTTATGGGAGCAGGAAGTTTCATCTTTCTCCCATGGAACAGTTAGTAGTTTTAAACTGCTAACCTTGAGATTAGCAGCCCGATTCCTTACCACTATGCTACCAGAGCTCCTTACAGGTAAAGATAGATATGTTAATAACTAAAAGCAGTCCGTGAAATAATAATTCATATAGTTTGTACCAAGTGTAATTTGAAAAATAACTTTTTGGATTTTAGTCAAGAAATTGGCCTATAATATAACCACTAGATTTTTGTTTTTAAGTTTTTATTGTGAATTGAGAGAAAAAATTTAGGGCAGATCATCAGTTTTATATTCAACAAATCATACACCTTGTTTCATTACAATGGTTATAATCTCCTCCATGTATCATCATATAACAGTATTTCTCTCTATTCATTTATTTTTTAATTTTTTTTTAACACTCTGGTATATATAGTAGTTTACACCACCAAATGGCACATTCTGCAAGTCTGCCTCCTGGCCATCAGCTCTTAGTCCCTTTCTTCCCATGAATCTAGAGCTGCTCTCTCTCTCCATGTCACTATCTCTGCCTCCATCTCTGGTGTCACTGCTTCTCTGGATAAGGGCTCATATTCCACTTCTGCTCTTGTCCCTTGTTTGTACTAAGGTCCTTTGTTTCTAGACTGTAAGATTCACTACTCTCCAGTTGTTAAAAGAAACTTCTACCTTTACAATTGTGACAGTCATATTTAGTCATGATAACTATTACTCATAATTGAATCATAAGAATATTATCCCCATCTCTTTTAACCAGACCCATCTAGACCAGATGAAAATTATTCAATAGGGACTCTTTCGTCTCCCACAAGTTCTTAAAATAAACTCCCTCTTGAAACCTTGTAAGTCAGTCACTTTGTGCCTTTATTGCCCCCTCATTTTAGGTACCTGATTTCTAAGTTGCCCATCCCTATCTACCCTGTGTACAGAAAGGATAGCATTTATACTTGATGTTAAGACTCCTTCCCTCTCTGTTGGTATTTAGAGTTACTACATTCGTGAGTATAGGTCAGGTTCATCAAATTGTAGCAATTTATCCTTGTTTCCTTTATCTTCTTTTTTGTTTTAATCTTCCTCTAGTTGAGTTCTGATTACTAAGCCACTGATGCTAGGTCAAAAGTGTACTATCTGCAAGTTTTGGTGTTCTTGTGCATCCCCCTCACTTCATACCAACTGGATGATTCACTCTCAGCTCTAGTTCTCTGTGGCTGTGTCCTTGTCCATGGGCTCAAGTGTTCCTAGGTCTCACCAACCAGCCCTTCCTCTTCTCTCTCTCATCTCCATGTCAAAGGGAGTCTGTGAACCGTGGTTGAACTCAACCCATTTCTTCATTGCTGCCTATCCCCTCTTCCACTCACAGTAGACCAACATGCTCACCAGCAAGCTTACAGGCCTGCTCATGTGTTCCCTTTGAATTTCAGTTTTAGAGGGGGTTTGTCCTGAAGGAACTTGATTGTTTGCCTTGATGGCTTTCCAGCGAAAACCTTGCTTATTCTTGTGGTAGCCAGTCATACTGCCATTGGGGGGGGGGGAGGGGGGAGGGGGTTCCCAATGATCTTTGTTTGAAGATATCTCTTCTGTCACCTAACTGTTCTAGCCTGGTCTGCTCATCCTTTCTAGTGGGAATGTCCCACCTCAGAAGGTTCTGGATAGGGCTCAGGATTCCACATAAGGTCCTATACACTGCAAAGGCTCTGCAAGAGGCCTATTTCACTGGGCAATTTCTAGAGCCTCTTTTAGGTATTCCAATCAGTTATAAGCTCTAGACACACTTAAAATATTCTCTAATTATGTTTCTAGACATTGTTTTCTATCCCACTCAAGTGTCTATTTTACAATAGTAGGCAAGGGAAACCAATATTCGTAAGACAGTCAAGCATCTTAGTACTATTTCCCCTCTTCAAACTATGTCTAGATCCCTGTGTCACAGAGCCCTGTTGCTCCAAGGTTGAGCATGCATAGTTTCTGCTGAGAGATCTGGGCTTAATCTGATTTCCTTGCCTTTTTATGTAACACTTCGTTTTTCCTAGCTGCTTTCTGGATTCTGTCCATATTTTTGATTTTAGAGAGCTTGATTATTGCATGTCTTTGTGATTTTTTTTAGGGTCTATCCTTCCTGGGTTCATTGAGCTTCTTGAATGCTTATCTTTTTTGCTTTTCAGAATGGAGTGTAGGTCTATGTCCAGATCATTTGTCTCAGTCACTTTATCTTGTTTCTGGATATGTGCTGATATGGTCATCTCTTTCTGTTTCTTGGGCATGTTTAGTAGTTAGCTGTGGCCTTAATACTTAGATGAGTGTGTGATTTGGTATTCTTTATGCTTTTTGATAGCCTCCAGGTAGACGTTATCAGGAGATGGGCTTCCCTTTTCACTCTTCTTATTATTTGACCCAGAGTAACTGTCACAGGTGTTGGCTGTCTACCTGGTGTATGGCAGCTGTTATTGGTTCTTGTTTGTATTGTGGGATTCTATAGGGTGTGATCATAGCTTCACTATATGACAGCAATTGCTGTCTCTTCAAGAGTCATGTAGGGAGAGAAAGAGCCCGGATTTGATGCTATAGCCTATACTTTCAGAAAAGAGAGAAGAGGAAAAGAAAATCTGTATCCTAATATGAGTATGGAGTCCTGGTGTGGCGCTGTGGGTTAATGCGCTAGACTGCAAAGCCGTTTGAACTGCAAGGTCGGCGGTTCAAGCTCACCAGCTACGCCTCGGAAACCCTATACAGGGTCGCTATGGGTCAGAACCAACTCGACGGCACTTCACAACAACAACAATATGAGTATGATTTAAATATTCTCTTTTGACCTCTTGCCTTCAAGGCCACCTGAGAAATTTCAAGATGCCACTGTTGGTAGTTATGACATAACACAGGATTTAATTTTTGGCCTGTTTCCTTTTTAGTCTGCTTGTCCCACTCCACAACCCCTGTTCAGGCCTTTTTTCCTAGTGATAAACAGTTCAGGGCCAGCTGTGGCTGTCTTCCATTGCCATTTGGTTTTAAGTAGTAAGTGTTCCTTTTTAATTTTGAGGAGATCTGTGAGTGTGCATAATAGAATCCTTGGGGGTTGGGGTGGGGTGTCCACTTGTTCGGGCACACCCTCTAGCTTCTAGTCACCAGAATGGAGGTATACAGACAGTGAGAGACAAATGAACAGATTTTAAATAAAAAGAATGTTGACACCTTTATCTCTGCAGTTCTGTCAGGTATCCATGGTGGCTCTGATCCTTCCCATGCTCAATCTCACCCAAGATGGCTGCTCTGGGATCAGCTGGGCATCTTGGATTAGAAAGCACTGGATTTCTTGCCTCTGCTACAAATTCCACTGGTTGTAAGCCTTCAAACTTTCTAAATATTCTTTTATATGTGGTTAAGAGTTCTGGACCATCCTGAACCTGCTTGGTCTGGTATTCTGTGTTGTTGCAGATGGAGATCCTCACTGCACTACTACTTTATCTGCCATCTTGTTTGTTCTCCCTACTAGTATTTTTAAGATTAGGCTATCCTGGTGTGGCACTGTTGGGTAAGCATTGGACGGCTAACTGCAAGGTCATTGGTTCAATCCTACCAACCACTCCTTGAAAACCCTATACAGGATAGTTATGAGTCAGAGTGGCCTGCTGGCACTTAACAACAACAACAAAGATCAATCTGTTGTAATATTTTGATTGTTTCAAACCTTTCAAAAGAGGTAATTAAAGGAAAAATATTCTTTGCTGAGAGTTACTGGATGATGTCAATGGCTAATGCACTCTGCTGCTAACTGAAAGAGAAGAGATTTCCATCCAGCACTATCTCAGAAGGAAGGCTTAGAGATCTACTTCTGAAAAATCAACTACTGAAAACCCTATGGAACATGGTTCTACATTGACACACTTGGGGGTGCCATGGGTCAGAGTCAACTGGATGGCAACTGGGACTCTGCCATCCAGTCAAACAAGAACAATAAACTTCAAAGGCACTAACCCTATATTATAATGAAAAGTGTCAATATTACTTATAAAGTGTCTGGGAAACAAAAAGTCAAACATTTAACAGTTAAGATAAAAACTACAGAGATTCATGCCAACTCTAGTCCAAAGAAACAGGAAATCATTAGTAGTTTGATTAGATCTTAGAAGTGTGAATTGCCTAGTGGAAGCTGAGACCATGGTATTCCTCTTTGGCAAGAATTGCAATATGGAGAAGATATAGTCGAATATATAGAAAGGAGGCAAATATCTTGGCTTTCCCCTTCTATTTCCTCATATATTCTGCTAGTGTCTTTCAGTAATCAAACTCAACAGGAAGTCAGATGTTCTGTGATTATAGGGAAAAACAATCCTCAAAGTTTAATTCTCCTGTAATGCAAGCATAAGGGGAGAATGAGGTAGAATAGGTCTGAAGAAAATAAATCCAACCTTGGTATAACATTATAACCAAAACATAAAAATGGTGTGCCTGTATTTCTGGAAAGAGCACTAATGGTACAGTGGGTAAGCACTTGGCTGCTAATTAAATGTTATTGGTTCAAACTCATGAGCAGCTTCACAAGAGAAAGATGTGGCAGTCTGCTTCCATAAAGACTATAGGCTTAGAAACCCTATGAGACAGTTTGATGTTGTCCTGTAACGTTGCTATGAGTTTGGAATCAACTCCACAGCAACAGGTTTGGATTTGGTTGATGGGGAAATGCAAAATCTCTACTTTATTATTAAACAAGGAAAAATCAAGGGTATTCAAGGATAGGAACCAGACTAGGAAATGTCCCAGGCCTTTAAGTGTGTTTTGGAATTAAGTCTAGTTCAGAGTATGTTACTTAAGAATTTGTGGAGGCATGGGGATATATTAATTTTATTATCCAATTACTTCATAGACTTATGCCTTTATAGTGCCCTCCACTTCTTTCACCTCTAATCACATCCACTATAATGAAACCTGTATGTGCATAAGCCAAAGAGGTGCAGTGAATCAACTATTACAGGTGCCTGGAACACAGATGCCATCTCTTATGAGTTTTTAAGCACGGAACTCAGGTGCACAAACACCACAAAGACTGAGTGCCTTCCAGAAATATTAGTGTAATTGCTTACACAGAGACAACATCCTCATGAGAAGATATGTGCAGGATATTCCTGTAGGTCTGTAGTCCCCTAGGATAAGAAAAGCAAGGGAATTTGTTGCAGTTAAAACTAACATTTAGATGAACTCAGGCTGGACAACAAGATCAGTCACTTGCACAGAGGTAGGATAACCAGGTTATAGTGATTTGGGTTGGGGTTGAGGTCGGAAGGAAGAATCCAGTGGTTCCAGAAGAAGGAGTGGGATGGAATGAGGCTCTAGTCAAACTTTGTATAGTGAAGACAGCCATTGTGGTTGTCTGAAAGATGGTTCTATCTTTTGACTTTTTAAAAGCAAATGTTAAAAAAAAAAAAAAAATTGAGACTGAGTGTATAAGCTGTGATTTGCATATTTTTCATAATCTAATAATAACAAGGACCTTAAATCTTGACCTGACAGAGTGAAAACCTTGTTTTTTGTAATACACTTAATTTTATTCAGGATAAAAATGTCCAGTATTAGATGTTGTATAAACTTATCATACACTGACATTTGAATCAGAACAATGTTTGTTCATTTAAAAATTGGTGTTGTTGAATAACTTTCTAGAATACCTCTTTATACATTCCAAGATATATCTTTCTGATAATTTGAAGTCTGTGAACTGAGAACTGCATAGGAAAGTTTTGTTTGAAAACAAATATCAATGTCAAGGGTATTGGGTAACTTTGAAGAACATAATCTTTACCTTCGTGAAAAAATCTGATTGATCAAAACAACACAAATCTCTAGGAATCAGAATACCCATGTTTTCATTGCTATTCCATTCCTTATCAGATTTTCCTTTGTGAGTATGTTTATTTCTTAGCATTCCACTTGGCTGGAAATGAAAATAAAGGTCTTCCTTTTAAAATAAAATCAATGACTTACCTTCTATTATATGATCAACTTTTCCCACTACTCTACCCTTTGCTAAATCTGAACTTTTTGACATTGTGGCATTTCCAATCCTCTTATTCAAAAGTCTATTATTTGGGAAAGGTGACACTAGTTAATAGACACAAGATTAATCTTAATCATGATATTTGTGCCTTTATTTGAAAAACTCTCTCACATGTTAGAAAATTATATCTCATCATTTAGGAATGCATCAATTATTGTACTACTAAAAGGTACCTAGTCTACTGAGCAACACTTTCTGTAAATGTCAAGGACATCAGCAGCACCAATTGAAAACTTGTTGCATTACACCTTTATTCTTTTATAGCTTCTGTGTCATCTGTGAGAAAGAAAAGTCTCATGTGTTTACAGCACTGAAAGAGGATACTACAGAGGAAATTATTATTAGGATGTCAGCATCTCTCACCATTCATAACAGTGAAGAAACATTGGGATTCCCATATTTACAATTTTTATTATTTTAATTTGGTCCCGTTTATAAGGCATCCATCATCTGCACAATGCTAACTTTTAACAGGACCGGTTATCAACCTACTGTCTTCCTACTGGTTGGCATTCCAGGGCTGGAGTCTGCCCACATCTGGATCTCCATCCCTTTCTTCTTGGTCTACTTACTGGCACTGATGGGAAATATTGCCCTTTTATTAATTGTCAAGTCAGATCCTAAGCTGCATGAACCAATGTACCTCTTTCTGTGCATGTTATCTTTGGTTGATTTGATGCTCACTTCTTCTACGATTCCCAAGATACTCAGCCTCTTTTGGTTCAATGACAGAGAAATCTACTTTGAAGCCTGCCTTACTCAAATGTACTTCATCCATTCTCTGTCTACCATGGAATCTGGATTTATCTTGGCCATGGCTTTTGACCGCTACGTTGCTATTTGCCGCCCATTGAGACATTCTAGTATTCTGACACCTGCAGTCATTATAGGCTTAGGTTTGGCCATAGTCTTAAGAGGAGTTATACTCCTCAGTCCACACCCCTTCCTTCTGAGGTGGCTTTCTTACTGTCCAACTAACATCATCTCCCATACTTACTGTGAGTTCATGGCCCTAATAAAGCTGGTTTGTGATAAAATCAAGATTCGCCAAGCCTATAGCCTAATTGTGGCCTTCCTGACAGGAGGGCTAGATTTCATCTTGATCATTTGTTCTTATGTCCTTATTCTTCTCACTGTCTTCCATCTCCCATCCAAGACATCCCGCCTCAAGACTTTAAGCACCTGTGTTTCTCATGTATGGGTTATTTTGGTATTTTATACACCAGCCTTTTTCTCCTTTCTTACCCACAGGTTTGGCCACCACATTGCTCCACGTATCCACATTTTTATAGCTAATATATATCTCCTTATACCACCCATGATGAATCCCATTATTTATGGTGTTAAAACCAAGAGGATCAGGGAGGGATTCTTTAAAATGTTAACAATTAAAAGTGCTTGATTTTGCAAGGATTTTTCTCATCAACAAAGAGAAGGGTGTTTAAACCATGATAAAATATGGAATGAAACAGGATTATCTTAGACTGGAATAATTTTCCTTAAAATTGGCATTCATACTGGACCAGTAAAGCATGCTAAACATTTAATTCCTTTAAGCAGTAGACTGTATAGAACTACAGATTGTAAGGAGAAAAAGTTAATTTGGAAACACTTTTAATTATTATGATTTGTCTGTCTTAACTTACAATTTTAGTGTAGATTTTGAGATTTATTAAATCATAACTAAATTTATTTTGAGAGGATATATAAAGCTAGTATTTTTTGACTATGCAGACTATGACCCCTAATCTCATTAGTTCCAGAGTGGGAATAGAAATTCATATATACTTTCTTCATAAAAGACCTATTATTCTGAAATATATTCAAATTGACAGCAGTTAAAACAAATTTAGAGAATATTTTTCTACTCTGATATACTGGGTAATTAAAGATAATTATGAAATTTTTAAAGAAAAATAATAATACAATTAGGACAATTTCTCAGAATTCTGACAAAAAAAAAAAAAAAAAAAAGTCGGTTTTGACAGCTTTTCCCAATGTTCTCAATTGCTTTTGTGGAGGACCAGATATGTCCAAACATTTATTAATTTCAGTACTTTGCATACATTACTCAGCTCTCTTTTAGCTGGTAATGCTTTCAGTGAGAGATCCACTATCATTTTTCTTTGTTTTTCTGTATATAATATATCTTCTTACCTGCTATTTTCAATTTTTTCTCTTTATCACTGTCTTTGAGAAAATTGATTATGGTGTGGCTTTGTGTTGTTTTGTTGTGTTGTTGTTAAGTGCTGTTGAGTGTGTGTTTAGGTTGTGTCAAATTGTTTGCTCTTGACTGTTAACCTAAGGGTGGTCAGCTTGAACCTAACCAGAGGCACTGGTGGGAAAAAAAAATCCTGGTGATCAGCTAAAAACCTTTATGGGGCAGTTCTACTCTGTAGCATATGAGGTCACCATGAATTAGAATTGATTTGACAACAATGAGTTTGGGTTGGTTTTTATATTTGTTTGGTTTTGGGTTTGTGTTATTTCCTTCAAATTTCTTGTAGTCATGGTCATCAAACTTCTCAGATATGTAGATTTATAATATTTACTAAAATTTGTAAAAAAAATTCTATTTCCCTTCTGAATTCTTCAAGGACATTAATAACATTATTTATTTGACTGCTTGAAGTTATTGTACAGTTCATTTATTCTCTATTTTTAAATAAACAATCTTCATTTCATCTAGATTGTTGTTGTTGTTGTTGTTGTTAAGTGCCATCGAGTCGGTTCCGACCCATAGTGACCCTGTACATCTAGATTAGTGTCTATTAATATATCTTAAATTCATAAATTTATTACTCTACAATATGTAATCTACTAGAAAATCCCACTCAGCATATATTCTAGCTCTGATTTTGTAATTTAATCTAAACGAATTTATTTGGGTTCATTTAAATTCATCCACATTTCTACTTATCTTTCCTATGAATTTTTTATAAATGGAATACATTTATATAGTCTTTAAATGCCCTAGTCTTTAATTGTAATATCTGTGCCATTTCTGGCTTAATCTTAATTAAATTAATCTTAAATGAGTTGTGTTTTCCTATTTCTTTTCATAACTGGTACACTAGAATGGATGCCAGACTATAATTTTGCCTTTTAGTGTACTGAGTAGGTTAAGTGCTTGACTGCTAGCCTAAAGATCAGTAATGCTGCTCTTTCAGTGAAAAGATTTCGCCATCTGGTTCTGTAAAGATTGCAGCTTTGGAAAGCTTATGAGACAACTCTACTCTACCTTATATGAGTCAGAATCAATGGAAATTGATTTGTTTGGGAAATGGGTTTGTATGTGGAATGCTCAAGTTTTTATGTGAAACCAAAGTAGCATTTTATCTAGGTCTGATTTTGCTCCACTGTTGTGATAAGGGAGTAATGGTGTGGTGCTGTAGGATAAGACTCAGCTGCTAATCATGAGGTCAGCAGTTCAAACCTACCAGCTGCTCCTCAGAAACCCTGTCTTGGTCGCTATAAGTTGGAATTAACTCTATTGCACTTAACAACAAAAACCTTGTGATAAAACCCTTTATTGTACTCTAAAATCTAACTAATTGCCATTGAGTCAATTCTGACTCATAGCAATATCATATGTTACAGGGGAAAATTGTGCTGTGTAAGATTTTCAAGGCTGTAACTTTGTAGAAACAAATCACTAGGCCTTTCTACCAGTGTCCCTCTGGATCTGCTTGGAGTGCAAACCTTTCAGTTAGTATGCAAGTGTTTAACCATTTGCACCACCCAGAAATCCCTCTTAATACTCTAAATACAAACCAAACCCACACCATCAAGTTGATTCTGACTCATAGTGATGCCATATAGGGGTACAGAGCCTAATCTTGCAGCTAGCAGTACAGTGCTTATCTTACAACTCCATCAGGATTCCTTCTTACTAACCTACATCATCATAAATTGTAAAATTCTAGTATAGAAAGTTGTAACAGGTACTATGCCTTGCTCCCTTGGGCCTTCTAGTGTTGTTTCTTCAAAAAAAATTGGGTGGTTCTTTCAGGTGTGGTAGATTAAGCATTGGTAACCACAGATTGGTGGTTCAAAGCCATTAATTGTGTGTGAGAAAGATGAGGCTTTGTGCACCCATCAAGATGAGGCTGCCTTTGAAACCATATGAAGCAGTTCTGCTCTGTCCTGTAGCATCATTGAGTCATACTTGACATGATTACAGTGGGTTTTGGCTTCTCTAATTATGCATCATTTCCTTACACAGAATTGTGTGACAATGTATGATAAGCACTCAACCTCAAGGTTGGTTTGAACCCTAGGGTCAGCAGTTCAAACTTATCAGCTGCTCCTGGGAGACTCTGTACAGGGTTGCTATGAGTTGGAACCGACTCAATGACACTGAAAAACAGCAACAACAAAGAATACTCAAAGGTAGATTTTGAATATCATTGGCCTCTCTGTGAAGATCTTTTCCTTCTATTACTCAAATCCACTGATTCTGATATTCCCCCACAACCCAGAATTTCTGTTTTAGCTCCTCAACTCAGAAAATAAACTGAACTCTACCTAGGTTCCCCCTTTCTGCATTCAAGGGAAGCAAAATGTCTCCAGGTAGTGAACTTGGGCAATTGTTTGTTTTCCACCTCTCAGCATATCCAGTATTTTAAGAGCCTTTACTTCATTTAATTTTATTGTATTTTAATTGTTTCAGGTGGGACCCTGTTACTCCAACTTGGCTAGAAGTGGAAAGAGGTTCCAGTATCATCTTTTAAGTTCAAATTATAAAAACCCTTATCTGATTTCTTAATATTTGAATCTTTACTATAGAAATCTATGGAAACTTGTCAGTACTTCCCCCAACTTTCAACATGTATCTGCATAAATGAGCTTAAAAAATGTTCAAATTGACAGCAATTCTGTCTAAATAGATGAGGAACATCTATTTTGTGTTTTCCTCATGCTCTTAAAATGATTTTTATTTTATCATGATTTTAGTCCTTGCATTATTTAGTGAAGTCCTAGCATGGCACTGTAGGATAAGCACTGTAGGATAAGTCGGTGGTTCAAATCCACCAGTGGCTCCTCAGAAACACTGTACAGGGTTGCTATGAGTTAGAAACAAATCAACAGCATTTAACAACATTATTTAGTGAAAATATGGACTCCTGGTGTGACACTATTGGAGCAATACTAGACTACGAACCACGAGGTGGGCAGTCCAAAACACCAGCCGCTCCTCGGATACCTATACAGGGTAGCTATTAGTTGGAACTGACTCAGCAGCACTTAACACCAATAACAACTATCTTCCAAATAGGTAGAATAGCCTGAAAACAATGTATGTGAACCTAAGAGATATAGGAAGGCCCATACAATAGAAGTTCATTTTCACCCTCTCTGTCATGTTGGGTAGGGTGGAGGGTCAGAGAAAAAGAGGAAGACCTCCAACGAGATGGATCGGCCAGGTGGCATCATTGATGGACTCGGGGGTGGCAGCGATGGTGAGGTTGGCCCAGGATCGAACATTGTTTCGTTCTGCTGTGCATGGAGTCGCTATGAGTCGGTTCCGACTCGATGGCACCTGACAACAACAACAACAACCTACCACTGAGGAGTACTGGTGTGGCGCTGTGGGTTAATGCACCATACTGCAAAGCCGTTTGAACTGCAAGGGCGGCAGTTCAAGCTCACCAGCTGCTCTTTGGAAACCCTATACAGGGTCGCTATGAGTTGGGATCGACTTGACGGTACTTAACAACAACAACAAACCACTACTGAACAACAGCAACCAGAGCTTCCACATTTTCCTCCTAGTGCCACCATAACGTACATGGACAACATTTTAATAAATAACTAACCAGTTTAATATGCCACTGTTATTCCATTTTTTATTTGCTAATAAAATGAACATGCATTCACTGTGAATGTCTATGTTGTGGTACAGAGAATGATACAAACTGTATCTGGAAATAGAAAAAAAAAAAGATGGAAAAGGAATTCATTATCTTATCTGTTGTGGATTATCTCCCTGTTTTGTTTCATCTTCTTTTTTTGGTTTATCGTTGATTATCACTGTTAAGTCTGCATTTCTTCTGAAGATTATCAATTAAAAAGCAACAGCACTACTTTTTGTTTGTTTGTTTTGTTTGTTTGTTTTTCAAACACTCTCTTTACTAAGTTTCTGGCAATAGCTTTATGTAACAAGACACAGCATACCAGACCTGCCACTCAACTTAAATATGGTAATTCTCAGCTTCAATATGAAGCTGTGAAAAGAAAAGCAATAAAACATCAAAAACCTGCTTTTTACATGCTAAATTTCTCAGCAAGTATGCCATTAAATACAGAAATGAACATAACATAGCAAGAATAAGAAGTTACAAAAGCTAAACTTGCAGCCTAAACAAAATCCATAGAAAAATAAAATAACTATCACTGGTTACATAACTGGTGAAAATTTAAAAGTATAAAACATGCATTTTAGAATTTTTTAACTAACAAGTTCAAAAAGTACCAGTGTCTATTTGAAATGATTACTCTTCAAGGTCAAAGTGTAGTCAAAATTAATTCAAATGACATAGCACAATCTAATGCTAACAATACTCCGTATTATTGAAGTGGAGGTAAACTTCCGAGCTTTGGGGCTTTCTAAGCTGCAAAGGGCTGTTTCTCGGGTTCCCTCAAAGCAGCACCGACAGAGGCCCAGGATATCACTCAGCTGGGTAAAGGGCTAGACTGCTTGTGCCCCGCTCTGACCTCCCCCGGAAGCATGGCTGCTGCACCCACAAAAATAGGACGTGTGAGGGTCAAAGGCACGCTGTTCCACTAGCTAAAGAGATAGCAAACCACCCTCCCACTCCCTAAAGCTCCTTCCCCTGGTAAATAAAAGTATACGAGGGAAAAGAAAAAAATTCATTTAGCTACAGAGCAAGGATTTTGATATATCAGTGTAATCCCTAGTTCCAAATGTTAGCTAGAGTCATGTGGAGATTTCTGAGCACATGCTGAAGACGTGTCCAGTTTAAATTTCTGTTACTTATAATTAGATACTTCTAGTAAAGAATACTCACTTTATCCCCAAGTATCTGAACCACTAGTATTACTGCAATGCACTGTCTCCCACAGCTATTAAGCGCTGGAAGAGAAAAAAAGATGTTCAAGCAGCAGGCAACGAATCTGGCCCTTTCACACAGCGGCATCTGAGTGGCTACTGAAAGTCCAGGAATACGTTTAAAAACAAGAAAACTCATGCATCTCAGTAAATATGTCGTATTTCTCACAGTTGAAATTTCTTTAGACATTGCACTTTCTTTTTAAGGGAATCCTGACTTTTCCTGCCATTATGGCGAGTCAGGACTTGAACTAGCAGCCTTTCTTCTTTTTCTTAGTATGCTTCTTTCTCTTCTTTGCTTTTTCTGTTGCTTTTTCTCATTCTTCACTGCTTTTCTTCTTTTTTTGCTCGTACCTCCTCAGTATAATCAGATTCTGACAAGGACTCTGATGATACAGGTTTATCTTCAGTCTACATTTTTCTTTTTTTGCCAAGTCCTTTCAGGTCCTTTTCTTTCTCAGTTGCATCCTTTGACTTCTTTTTCTTCTTAAAACTATCCTTACTGTCTGACTGTGTCTGACATGGAGCTTTCTGAAGATTTATGTGAATGGTTCTTCTTTTTCTTTTTCCTTTTTCCTTGTTTTTTATGCTCATCTTCAGAATCTGAAGAACTGCTGGAAGAATCAGAGCTTGATCAAGAAGATGCATACCTACCAGATTTCTTCTTTTCTTTTTTCTTTCTCTGTCTTTTTTTAGATGAACTCTCACTTCCACTTAACAGTTTCTCCCTATGTTTCTCTAGTTCTTTCTTCCAGTTTTCATTCATTTTTTCTTCGAATTCAGCCAATGCCTTCAAGCCTTTTTTTTTTCTTTTCTAGTTGCTCTTTCACTTCTTCCCAGGTGGGCCTTGGTCGATTAAGATAATCTTGTATCGTTGGCCCTGAAGACTGGACTGGACCCCTTGATCTGGCCATTGCTATTGGGTTCATATAGGCCACCTGATTATCCCGCTTCCCAATAGTGCCAAGGACGTGACGAGTGCACAGTCAGATAACGAAGCCGACCAGGCAGAGAAACTGCCAAAGCTGACCCACCGCAGCTCCTTCAGGGTTCCCCCTCTCCACCTAGAGAGCGGCGCCGCTCAGCACTGCTGTTTATTCTCCATTTTAATTTGGAACTGAGGATTCCAGACTTGCATTAGAAAGACAGTACTTATATAAAAATAACAGTAATCATAAATATAATATGACTTTTAATTTGCCACATGGTATATGGGAAATTTATTATATATGATAAGAATTTTAATACCCATATAATTTTGAAAAACAGATAGTCTGCTTCTTGTTAATATTAAATAGCATTGTTATTGATTTTAGGTGCCATTGAGTCCCTTTCTATCCATAACAACCCTATGCAAAACAGAACGAGACACTGCCTTGTCCTGTGCCATCCTCACAATTGTTGTTATGTGTAAGGCCATTGCTGCGGTCATCTTATCAATCCATTTCATTGGGGGATCTTCCTCTTTTTTTACGACCCTTCACTTTACCAAACATGATATCCTTTTACAGGATGACATATCCAAAGTATGAGGCACATAGTTTTGCCATCCTGGCTTCTCAGTAGCATCCTGGTTATACTTCTTCCAAGACAGATTTGTTTTTCTTCTAGCAGTCCATGGTACTTTTAATATTCTTCTCCAACATACAAATTGACAAAACTATCAATTTATCTGATGCTATATAATATATGTATAATATTTGTTGTTGTTGTTATGTGCCGTGTATAATATAACATCAGTTAAATTGATGTGTTTGATAAATTGGTAAGTTGATAAACACAATTTTATCCAGCAGGTAATTTTGATGCACCATGGATGATATTTTCTTTTCATTGCTACAGGTTCTGTTTATTCGTTGCTCTACAACTCAAAATAATAGGACTATGGAAAACTTAATAGACTTCAAACTATGCAACCTAATATTTTCCCTATGTAGTTTTGATGTGTTTGTGTCCTGAAATGCAATGAAATCATTGCAATCATGGCCCCAATGCCACAGATTTCTTTAATTGTTGCTCCTTTAGGATAGTACGCTAGTGAGCACAAAACTCTCTAAGGACGTGATGTGCCACCTCCATGAGCATTCTCATGAGGAGTCCAGAGAAATACCCTCATTCATGATTATTGATAGTTGTTCTCATGAGATAGTTGTTCCAGGCAGACCTTTGGAAATTAGGACAAAAGTAAGAGAGAACCAATTTGTCTCACAGCAATCCAGACAAAAAGACCAGCCAAATGAAGAAGTAGCAGGACTATGTGAGACAAAGCTATTGCTGCTGGGGTAGGATGCAGGTGAGGACTTAAAACTATTTAACAATCCATGCAGAATGCATATGGAGCAACAAATGGTGTCCATTCATAAGACTCAAGCAGAATCTGGAAGCTCACCTGCTATATCAACCTTGAATACTTTAGCACCTAAATTGAAGAAAGGTCTATAAAGTCTTCCCAAAAGAGAGTGTCTTAGTTAAAATAAAGATAACATTTGGAAAATTAAAAACAAATGATATTTTTCAATAAGGAGAAAATATTTAAGCATGATATTAAGTATTACTTTTTACTGGTATGGCACTGCAGGATAAGCACAGGACTGCTAATCACAAGATCAGCAGTTTGAATCTACCAGTCACTCCTCAGAAACTCTATGCAGGGTTGCAATGACTTGGAACTGACTCGACAGCACTTAATAACAACAACTGATGCATACCAGATTCTGTTTTTAAAAAGCTTTGGGATATTTAAAGATATTTAAGAAAAATAATAATATTGAAAAAAATTAGTTAGACTTTGGAATAGCATATGTGTGATCATCGTGAGGGGATGAATATGAGAGAAATGGTTAAATGTCTATGCTTTAAAAACTGTAGCAAAACTTTAACAGAGTAAAACTAAAAATTTAATCCTCTTTTAATGATCCAAATGTAAAGATTTGCTTTTGTACATAACCGTTATAGTCTCACAAATTATATTTAATATAAAATATAAATTTATCCTTTATAATAATTTAATGTACTAAAAATGAGCATACAAGAACTAATTGCTGTTGAGTTGACTCCAACTCATGTAGACCCCATATTTGTTAGAGTAGAACTGTGCTCTATAGCATTTTCAGTGACTGATTTACAGAAGTAGATTTGCAAACATCTTTTCAGTTGCTTCTAGGTGGATGTGTACCATTCATCTTCGGATTAGCAGCAGAGCACTTAACCATTGGAGACACCAAGGGACTGATAGAAAACTTACCCATGGAGAGAACAAAATATGGGGAAATCTAATATAGAGACACATCAGCGACACACTTTTTTGACTCTTCATTTAAATTATTAATTTGGTAAAAATATAAACAAAATTTTAACTTCCAAGGTAGTGACCATAAAGTGGAGGATGAAAAGAGATATGGAGTGGTGAATCCCAACTTTAGATTCTGTTTATTCTCTTTCCTAGAGTAGTATTTACTGGCTTTTACATCTTATGAAACTTGATATTAATGAAAGTAATACTGGCCAATTCATCGTCTGAACACTCATACCTGAAAGTGGTGACAATTTTCCTACTAATTGATGTGTCATTGGACTGCCACCAAATATTTTAAATATAAACAAAGAATATTATCTATGCTTGATATGTTGAAAATATTTTTAAAGCAATCAAAATAGAGTAGGTTCAGTGACTCTGAAAATGTTAGTTCAAAACAGAACATATTTTCACCCGACCACCTTCCTCCTCCTTGGAATCCCAGGGCTGGAGATGGCCCACATCTGGATTTCCATCCCCTTCTGCCTGGTCTACATTATTGCTCTGATGGGGAATTGTATTCTTGTATTTATCATCAAGACAGAGCCTAGTCTGCATGAACCCATGTATCTCTTCCTCTGCATGCTCTCTGTAAATGATTTGATGCTAAGCACTACGACCCTCCCCAAAATCCTCACCCTCTTCTGGTTTGATGACAGAAAAATAAACTTTAAAGCTTGCCTCACTCAGATATTCTTCATCCACTCTTTGTCTACCATGGAGTCGGGATTCCTGTTGGTAATGGCCTTTGACCGCTATGTGGCCATCTGCAATCCTCTTAGGCATTCCACTATTCTGACACCTGCAATGATTCTGACTTTGATTCTGACTATTGTCCTACGTGGAGTTATCCTGCTGACTCCTCATCCTTTTCTACTGCTGAGGCTTACCTACTGCAAAACTCATGTCATTGCCCACACCTACTGTGAATTCATGGCTCTGATCAAATTGGCTTGTGAGAATACTAGGATATACAGAATCTATGGCTTAATTTTGGCTTTCCTCACTGGTGGAGTGGACTTTATACTTATAATATGGTCTTATATTTTCATTCTCTATGCTGTGTTTCAACTCCCATCAAAGAAAGCTAGACTCAAGGCCTTGAGCACTTGTGGTGCTCATGTTTGGGTCATCTTAGTGTTTTATATACCTGCCTTTTTTTCCTTTATCACCCACAGATTTGCACATCACATTGCTCCATGCATCCACATCTTTATAGCAAACATTTATCTTCTTATACCTCCCATGTTGAACCCTATCATCTATGGTGTAAAAACCAAAAATATCCGGGAAAGATTTCTCAAAATATTCACAAATACAAATGATTGATTCTATGTAGTTTTTAATCCAGTAAAAAGGTGATTCTATGAAACTATGTATTTGTTTATATTCAAGTTGATTGGCCTTATGTCAGAAGATAGATTCTTCAGGTGAGCAGTGATTTCACAACAACTCTTATGGCTAAGATACAGAATAGATTAGGTCTAGCAAATAGAAGATAAAGGTATTTTGTGATTGCTATTTTTCTTAAATGTTATTTTGTATTGCTATGTTTCTTAAATGTTATTTCTTAATGTGTGAATGTCCAATACATAGAGATGAACTCAAGACACATTAGCCTCTTTGAAAATACCTGTTGAATATAAGTTCACTAATTTTCGTGTTTCTTGGCAGAAGCACTGAAGTAACTAACTCACAGTTGTCAGTCTGAATTTATAGACATGCAAGATCTATTCTCTTGTTTGTAACTGGGAAAGGAACAGAAAAAACAAAATCATGGTAGTTCATGAAAAAAAAAAAAATCTGCCTACAACTTTCCCACTGTATAAGAGTATACTTCAAAGCAGTCATTTAAAACAAGATCTTTAAGGGAAACACTATATTTGTTATTCTATTGGATTTATGTGGCGCTGATGATCTTAATTTCTTCAAAGTGGTGTGACTACGTTTTCTGATTGTACAGTGGAAATATTTTCTTCTTCTGAAAAATTAACACAGAAAAGGTAAAAATACGAAAGTAAAACTATACTAACAAAACACAATGGTTACTTTCTTAGTTTTATTTTCATGAAAGAAGTGAAGTCCAGACTTACAGATTTAGCTGAATTTTGTAATTTCCTATAAATATGAACATCTATACCTACTTCTTTTGACACTAAATATTTACTTTGCTTAATTTCATCCCTTTGTTCCTGATATTACCTCTGGGTGGCTCTGTAGTATAAGCCCAAGACTACTAATCACAAGGTGGGCTTTTCTAACCCACCAGCCACTCTTGGAAACCCTTTAGAGGGATGCTATGAGTCATAACCAACTCAATGGCACACAACAACAACATTCCTCACATATTCTGGAAGTCTACACAATTTTAACAATGCATACAATATGAGTATACTGTTGTAGCTTTCACCAGATTCATTCTTTATAGCTGGCATTCAACATTAGGATCAAGCTTGAGTAGATCTTTTTAAAACTTACTTAAACTTGAATATATTTACTGAAAGCTTATTTTGTGATGATGGATAACTGATATGGACAACTCTGACATCGATATCTATGCAGCCTTTTTTTATTGCCACTAAATATCCTGTGGAATCGATACATTGCAACTTATTCCACTGATCTCTGTTGCTAGACATTCAATTGATTTTTCACCTGTGTGTCTTGATATTGCTGCATGAACTATTCTTGCACTGCTTTATGCCCTTATTTACTTGGGTAAATTCTTGTATTTGGAATACATATATTTTTGATTTCTAGAAATAATGAATACTGCCAAATCATTTCTTAAATATCAACTAGAATGCATATAGTTAATTTTAGTTTAATTTTTATTTATACTGACCTGAAATTTACTGATGAGAATATATTTGTGTTTATAGGGGCAAATATTTTTATTTAGAATTTTTTTTTTTTACTAAATAAGTTGGTACACTTTCACAAACTTTTATCATTGACTGAACTATTTTTGGTTGAATGTTTCAAAGCTCTTTTTATAATGGATGGTTTACTCATCCTGCTACTGTATCCTCTACAAGATGTTTATTCTCTCCCAATCTCATTTTTTTTTTTTAAATGTAATTATGTTACCTTTCCCTGTAAGGTATTTAAAATTTATTGTAGTCAAGTATCTTTATATTTTCCTATGTTACTGTTGTTAAGTACTGTTGAGTCACTCCTACTTATAGTGACCCTGTATAGGATTTCTGAGGAGTGCCTGGTGAATTTGAACGTGTGATCTGAGCTGGCAGTTCAAACCTACCTTGTGATCCAGTGTTTATCATAGAGAGCCATACAATATATCAGTTTCTGTCGTGTCCATTTTGTCTTATGGAGTGTCTATGTGTGCAGAATAGAACTGTGATGCATAGGACTTTCACTGACTGACTTTTCAGAAGCATACTACCAAGACATTTTCCAAGTGACTTCACACTTTCAATCTTTAAGTTAATTGCTGTTGTTGTTGTTAAGTGCTGGTAGAGTAGGTTCCAACTCATAGTGACCCTGTGTAGGGTTTCCAAGGCTGTAAATCATTATGGGAGAAGAAAGCTGAATCTTTCTCCCTTGGAACAGCTGGTAGCTTCAAACTACTGTCTTTGAGGTTAGCAGCCTGACTAGTAACCACTTTGCTCCCAGAGCTCCTTGTACTTATTATAGAATCTGGAAACATTTGTTGTTAAATGCTTTCAAGTCCTTTCTAATTCATATTGACCATATGTACACAAGAACAAAACAATCCCTGGTCCAGTACTACCCTCACCATCTACTTGGGAGTCTCCTTTTGTCACTGATCCTTCTGCTTAACCAAGCATGATGTCCTTATCTCTGGGGATTGATCCTTCCTGACATATTCCCAAAAAATGAGAGACAAGATTTCACAATCTTTGCTGCCAAAGAGCGTTCCAACTGTACAACTTCCAAGACAGATTTGCTTGTTATGTAAGTCCCTGGTACTTTCAGTGTGATTCTTCAACACCATAATTCAAATGCTTTGATTCTTCCATGGTCTTCTTTATTCATTGTTCAACTTTCACATACATCTGATATTATTGAAAATACCATGGCTTTGGTCAGGCGCATCTTAGTCCTCAAATTGACACCTTTGCCTTTGAACACTTAAAGAGGTCTTGTACTGAAGATTTGCCCAATGCAGTCTATCTTTTGATTTCCTGACTGCTACTTCCATAACTGGAGTCCTGATATGGCACTGTAGGATAAAGCACTGGATAATAAGGCTGGTTTAAACCACAAGGTCAGTGGTTCAAATTCACCAGTCACTCCTTGGAAACCCTATATGGATTGCTATGAGTTGGAAAACACTCAAGGGCACTTAACAACAGTAACAGCTTCCATGAGAGCTAATTGTGGATACAAACAAAATGAAGCCTCTGACAACTTCGATCTGTACTATGCTTATTATGATGCTATTTATTTGTCCAGTTGTAAGGATTTTGTTGATTTACAGTGAAATACAATCCATATAAAGGATCTTTGTAGGTATATGAAGACCTCTTTGCTTTTAGCAAACAAAGTTGTATAATCTGCATATCCCAGGTTGTTAATGTGTCTTCCTCCAATCCTGAGGTCACAGTCTTCTCCATATAATCCAGTTTCTTGGATTATTTGCTCAGCATACAGGTATAATAAATATGGTGAAAGGATACAACTCAGCACATAATTTTCCTTATTTTAAATGATTCAGTATCCCCTTGTTTTGTTGTAATGACTGCTTCTTGGGAAATATACAATTTCTTCATGAGCGAAGTTAAGTATTCTGGAATACCCATTCTTCCCAATGTTATCCAAATATTTTTTTATATTATCTGTATAAAATATATCCATAGTTTGTTATTATGCACACAACTGAAAATGCCTTTGGAAAGTAAAAAAAACCCACACATATATAAAACAAGTAATCATACTTTTGTTATTCTCTTCTTTAATCAAGATCCATCTGATGTCAATATGATATTCCTTGTTTCAAATCCTTTTCTGAATCTAGGTTGAATTTCTGACTGTTCCTTGTCAAAATACTTCTGCAAGCATTTTCAAATTATCTTCAGAAAAATTTTACTTGTATATGATATTTATGATATTGTTAGATGATTTCTACATTCTGTTGGCTCACCTTATTTTGGATCGGGCACAAATGTAGATTTTTTTTCAATGTTTTGGCCAGGCAACTGTCTTACAAATTTCTTAGTATAGATAAGTAAGTTCCTCCAGCACTGCATCAGTTTGTTGAAGCACTTCAATTTGTCTTCCATCAGATTTTGGATCTTTGTTTTTTGTACCATCAGTTCTTGCTAATATGCTGCCTCTTGAAAAATGGATGAATATTGACCAACTGTTTTTGGTACACTAACTCTGCATTTCTTGCATCTTTCAATGCTTCCTGCATCATTCAATGTTTTAGCCCAAAGAATCTTTAAATACTGCACCCTGAGGTTTGAATTTTTTCTTCAGTCCTTTCAACTTGAGAAATGTAGAGTGTGTTCTTCCCTTTTGGTTTTATAATGCCAAGTCTTTGCACATGTCTGTATAAAATTTACCTTCTCTGACTGCCTTTTGAAATTTTCTGTTCAACTCTTTTACTTCCTGATTTCTTACATTTTACTTTGTCAATATTCAAGAGCTCTGGTAGCACAGTGGTTACAAATCGGCCTGCAAACCGCAAGGTCAGCAGTTTGAAACTACCAGCTGTTCCGCAGGAGAAAGATGAGGTGTTCTGCTCCTGTAAAGATTACAGCCTCGGAAACGCTGTACAGGGTTGCTATGAGTCGGACCCAACTCCACAGCACACAGCCACCAGCCATCACCATATTCAAGAGCAACTGTCAGAGTATCTTCCAACATCCACTTTGGTCTTTTTATTCCTGTTCTTTTCATTGTCTTTTACTTTCTTCCTATATGATGTTGTTGATGTCATCCCACAGCTCTTCTGGTTCTCAGTCAGTATTGTTTAGTACAGCACATCTGTACTTGAAATAGCCTCTAAATCTAGGAGGGATATCATTAAGATCATATTTTGGTTCTTGTACACTTGCTTTAAAATTGTTTACCTTCAGCCTGAACATGCATATGAGCAATTGATGATCAGTTCCATGGTCTATTGCTGGACTGGTTTTAGATGATGATGTCAACCTTTTCCACTGTCTCTTCCCACAAATGTAGTCAATTTAATTTCTATATATTCCATTTCATGAGTTCCACATGTGTAGTCATCTTTTATGTTGTGTGAAAGATATTTCCAATAATTAAGTCATTGTTGTTGTTGTTAGGTGCTGTCAAGTTGGTACAGACTCATCACAACCTTATGCATAGAAGAA